AACGGAATACTTTTTTGATATCGTATTTGTGTTTCGTTTGCGTTCCCGTGTAAATGGGGTCTTAGCGGATTCCCCGGTGTATGAATAGTTCCTTCTATAAAAGATGTTGAGATGTATTAATCTACGAGAAGTATTTCTGTCATGATTTACAACTACAGGTCTATTACAGAATGATTGCTTCAGAAGATGACATCACATATACTGTGGGAGAGCCTTTGTGTCAGGAGGTATAAATACATTTAAATGAACCCTGAGGTGAAGATTATGACACAGGGGTACAGAAATACTGCTGGCCACACTGATCAGTTTATGAATTGCTGCATATCCTGTTTAGTATGAAGCCTAGATTACTTTCCAAATTATTTACAGACACAAAAAGTGAGGGACGGATGTTAAAGGAGCATCAATTGACATTCCTGAACGCAGGGTTTCACAACGTTCAGTTGTAGCCTAGTCCATATATGCTGTACAAAGAAAAAAAGACAAAACAAAGGACGACAAAAAAAGGAATGCTTTGCCGTAGTTCATTTTTTTCATTTGTGTCAGGATAAAAAACACAGCTGCTACAAAACAATGGTAAATTCTCTCAGCAGATAAAAAGGCAAGTGTATAGTAGCTTGAGTAGCTGCATCAAAAATGTGACTTCATGTCCATCGACAGTCAGCACCAAGCATCATTGATGCAAATAAAGAGTCTGCCTCTTCCTGTCCCTATGGAATCCTGCGCTGTCCTTCTTCACATATTCAACTACAGTAGACAGATGCTATCAAGGAGCCATGTCTCTGTAAATATGTTGGCAAAACATTTGCTCTGAAAACCTAAGTCTGATGTTGTCGAAAGATGACGTGGGCGATAACTGGCTCAAGGTCTGCTTTCCAATCCCTGCGCTTCCTTCTCCAATTTTGATGAGTGCAACTCTGTTAATGGCCGTACTGTAGATGCTCAAGTATGCAGCAAAAGCCTGGCAAAGTTCAGGGGTACTGTAACTTCATCCACCAGTGACGACAGACAGTTCTTCAAATCCAACGTTGACAGGGCAATCATAAAGATTATTACTTTCGGGAACATGAAAAGCTGTATAAAATGTTGGCATCCATCTCATAGTTGTTGAGACATTTCAATGTTGACCAGAGTGATGGACCAATCTTCATACGGACATTGCCAGAGATATGACAGCTCTCTTCTCGTTGTATGTGTATGATGAACTTTGAATAAAGTATTATTATATTCCATTCTTTTGAAGTGTGCATTGCAATTGTTGCAGTTGTCTGGCACTTGTGCATACTGTCTGGACCCTTTTCATGTTTAAATAGATTATTGCCATATTTGATTTCCAAGGCTGGATCCCTTAGAATTGTGAAATGTTTTTAACCTACATATTTTTTAATGGTATTGTCTTGTTCGTCGTTAAGCTGGCCGGAGTTCAATAAGATCGTTTTTTTTGTTCGTAGCTGAAGGTTTCCCCACATTTAATCCTCTTGCTTGTAGCTAGTTTTTTACCTCAGACTTTTATATGTTTTTTACTTGATTTGAATTGACTTGAATGTACCTGGGACTCTGTGACGACTGCGGTTTTCTGTAGAGCACAGCAGGTGTGCTTGCCGGTGTGCAAAAATAACACAAGGCTCACTCTGCTGTAACACATGAAATATGAAAATACAATTGAAGTTAGAAGCCTGCATACTCAAACTCACGTATCACATACTAAGGGCTTTTATACTACTGGCATTAGCTACTTTCTACTTAATAATACTTGCAAATAAACTGTTAAATGCCATTGAAAACTCATACAAAAACATTGCTTTCTACACAGGTTTCCAATCATAGATATTCAAGATAAGTTCTCAATTACATTTCTTTCTTTTATAGGAATTACAGTTTAGCTGTAGAATTACTCTTATTTCTGTTCAAGCAATAAACAGCCTTTATATGAAAATGCAAGGTATTTGCCGGGTATTAACATTACGTATACTTATACATTATGTTTACTTACGTTATTGCTCTAGTTGGCTATATTATATATTATAAACGTGTATTGTCTTATAACCACCTACATCTATAGGCGCTTTCACACCAGAGTACTTTTCCCAGGAATAGTTCCGATAGATAGTCTGTGTGACTTACTTTAAATTGTGGGCAAGGGTAGATAGCTCCCATTGTTCTGTGACCTGTCAATCATCAAACCGGGGGTCATATTTCATTATGTGTTCATTTTTATCTGAAGTGGTACCCATGGATGTATAAAGAAGAGTTCTACCGCAAAGTTATTCTCCGTGGGGACTTCTGGCAACAATCTTGATTCTGATTGGCCAGAAGACTCGAAAAAACATCAGCAAAGATATTTTATTTTACTACAGAAGTTTTGAAAACCGTTTATGGTCTCCGGTACTTCCAGTCCAACGCCGACTGCATGCACAGCGTTAGAAAATCGGGCCTTCAAAATAAAAGTTTGACCTATTCCCCCCCACCCCCAAAAAAAAAAAAGAATTCCAATTTTTTTTTTTTTTTTGTTGTTCTTCACTCACACATCCGTGACCCACTCGAAATGGGTCCGCGACCCACTTTTGGGTTGTACAGTCTACAACCAAACAGTTATCTCTGAAATATATAACTTGTCCACTCAATAAATTACTTGCATTCATGCAGAAAGGTGCAATAATGTCCATAACTTTGGCTAGCTACATTATTTTTGATCAAGTCCGCCATTTTAATAACTGACACTTATTTTCAGCTATACTCAATTAAACGTATCTATTCTACATGTTAACTTACGCAGTGGTGGACTGGCCATCGAATCCCGATGGGTCGGTACTGAAGTGGGCCGGTCGGACGATGTGGGCCGGTCGGATAAATCACTAGCCCCCCCCGTTGTACCGAAGTGGGCCGGTCGAGAGTCCCGGGCTGTTTTTTAGTCCCAGTCCGCCCCTACTTACAGGTAGGCCTACGAACTAATGCTTTACTCAAGTTAAACTTCCATTTAATTGCATAAAATCAAGTTTATGTTTATAGTTAGTTTACCTTTAGGAAATACGATGATACAGGTGACGTTTGCTCTCTGTGGAACACTTGAATTCAGTTACGTGGTGATCACTTATTTATTCTTCTACTTATTGCGTAATGTCCTAGTATAATGCATAGAGCGAGAGCACCATCTGCTGACTGTGCTGTGATTAGCAGGATTTTAAATGACAACATGGCCCAGTAAACAGTCTGTTGTCTAACCACTGACCGATAACAAGTGGTGTAAAGTAACTAAGTAGATTTACTCAAGTACTGTACTCAAGTACAATTTCAATTTGTTGATACATTGTAGGCCTACTTCTACTCCACTAAAATTCAGATTTGCATTAATAATGAAAAAATATAATCAACACTTAAATAAGACTTAGTTACACCTGGAGTACATTCACAACCCCGCAGTATACAAAGTCATTAGAATTAGCTGACTTACCAGCTTTGATAACACTTTAATGCATCAATAATTATAATCAAAAACATACAATAGGCTATATCATTCTTAAATGGGCCAATCTGCACAATAAGTACTTTCACTTTTGGTACTTTAAGTATATTTTCATGCTATTACTTTTAAACTTTTCCTTTTGTAACATTTGTATTGCACTTTTACGTAACCGAGTATTCCTACACTCTGGTACTTCTACTTAGATCTAAGTACTTCTTCCACCTCTACCGATAACTGCACTGTTGTGACAGTGAACAGTGAAACTTCCGACTTCCTTAGGTGTGTAACGTGCAAATGAAAAAGTAAATCCTATTATACGAGACATTGGTATGTGGGTTCTCCTCGAGCCAAAATTAATTACCACAGGGATATGTCCATTCATACTGCTGTATTTAATCTACTAAGTGAGATGATCATGGTGGGGAGTAAAAAAGGCCTGGGACATAATCCTGTGACAGACGGAAATGCTCAGTCGAAACGCTTTCATTATTCGTCGAGCCAGCTATAATCCAATTCATCAGGAGAGTATTCCAAAAAGAGATTGGTGAAGTATGTCCTTGTATTCGAGAAGACGAGGGCACAGATGCATTACATATCTACTTCTAATTATTTTTTCAGTGGTGACCATTTCTCGGATAGGCTCTCATTTTAAGGTTTTGGAAGATTTATTAAAGAAATGGCATGAAACCCATCTGCACTGAAAACGGTTTATACAGTGCTGTTCCCCTGTCATTAATGGCAGATCCTGAGAGCGTGTATGCAAAATGGAGACGGTGGCTCTTAAAGACAGTGAACACTGTTCTTGTCTTTCAAAATACAAAAATTAATCGGCTTGTTTTGAGAAAGAACAAGTGACAATTAAACATCCTGATTGTAAGGCTTCTCCTGCAGGTCTTGCTCCTTTATTTTGTTCTTCTTCCATCAGCATCTTGCAGAGTTTTGTTTTGATTCTTAAAGACAACAGGCTTTTTGTGGTGGGAACAAGGGTTCCCTCCTGACCTATTTTCTGAGCAGTTTTTTTGAAGCTACTTCACTCTGACATTCAGCTCCTGCTCTTTTCTCAACTTCAGCCTCCAAAGAACTATGCAAACTTGATTGGCATTCTCAGTTTGAACGACTGCAGGACACTTTTTGTAAATGTCAATCTGGATGTGTTAGATGTGTTAATCTCTGATAAACTGAGAAACAAATGAAGAGAATGTGCTTGAGATTTTCCTTGCCTTTTGGATTACTATCTCTGCCATCTTTAAAAACATGTTTGAATTGACAGGTGAAAGAGTGGGCTCAAGAAGATGTCAGTTTATCAGACTGCCTGGCGTACTTCATACTGTTTTTCAGAGATACAGTAACTACCCATATCCCTATGTTTGGTGACTTGTAATTTCTCTTCTGTAGAAAGTGAGGCACACTGCATAGAGAAGGACTCTTTCTGACAGACCTCTTTTCATTGACATTGAAGTATGGATAACGTGGCCAATGCCTGAAATTATGCTTTTCAATACACATGTAAATAGGGTTAGAACTTTATTGTTGAATTTTTTGGATAGTCCTTTTCCACCTCTTTCTGAAGCCTGATGTGTCAGTTAATAAATGACCATGAAGCTGCATCATATACGGTTTGGGAAATACCATATTCTGTAGTTACAAATGTCCATATAAAACACCATGATGACACTGTCATATCTCTGAAATACAGCGGTAACAGTCATGTGGATATTATGTCTTTAATGTCATATGTTAGATTCTCCATCTCTGTTAGATACAAAATAGACAAAAATAATTTGATATATTTTTCAGAAATATTCAAAAACATTGTCAAGTGATCACAACATAAAATAATCTGACAATCTTAATCATTTGCGATTAAAATGCTATTAGCAAAATACGTTTTCTTTGACTTTATCATAGACTATATTATCACAATTTCTTCATATACACACCATAATTTCTCTGTAAATATATTTAGTGAAATGAATAACAATCTCTTTAGACCTGTTTCAGGATAAAAAAAAGTGAGGCTGGTAAAAGAAGGTAAAACATGGTATCACTCAATAAAAGAGGCGTATCTGGTGTTTTGATTAAGGGTTTAAAACAAAAACAAACAAAAAGTATTATTCACATAACATTTCAGATTTCTTTAAAGCACCCATTGCCTTGCAACTCTATATTTCCATCTTACTCAAACGTTTAGTGAATATAGGCCGTAATGTATTATGGTTAAATAAAATTTGACTTGAAGTGCAAGTGTCGTTGACAGTGGTTGGAGCTTATCCAGTTGAGGCACACATTTTTTTCATGATAATTTTCTTAACAAAAACAACATGATAAAGATACGAAAACAACAAAAACTAAAATAACTTTCTACATGGTCAGTCAGAGTTTTGTCATTGGTATGTGTAGGCTGTTCCAGGGTCCCATCCATAACTCCTCCTCGTCTGATAAAGTGTGGTCACTGTGGGACTCCAGTGTCTCTCTGCTGTCCTTGTGGTTGTCAACCGAAGTCTCTTGCTCCTCATTGACAAACTGGCCACTGCTGTTTCTGTCAATCAAGACCTTTGCAATATTGGTTTTGGACCCAAAACTTTTAAGATCGTTGATGGAGGATCCAAGGGAGCCAAGGGAGCCACAGGAGGGCCGAGTGTTGAGGTTGACGTCCACATTAGGGGGAACACATGTTCCTGTTCCATTTTCTGTCTCGTTTTCTGTGCCATCAATGCTAATAATGCTAGAGGGTTCTTCATAAGTCACACCCAACTTGTCTAGTCTTTTAAAATGCTTACCAAGCCGACAAGGAGAGCCCATATTCAAGTTTTTTGGGTGAGGTGGCCTCCTAGTTCTGACAATAGTGCCGTTCTGTGCAAGGTAGATGTTCCCGTTGATGTTGCTGTGGCTGTTGGGGAGTCGGTTCCTCTGCGTCTCTGTGGTGCTCTCTTCTCCTGTGGAGCTGGTCTCATTCTCCTGATCTACCACCAGCTTGATCCGTGGCTTTTTCCCAGGCTAAAGAGGATAGAGGGAGTCAAGGTCAAAGTGTCATTTTTTTCTTTTCACAAGGTATAGTATACACATGTTTCTCGATAAAAAAGGGGAATAAACACTGCGGACAGCTAGCTGAGTTATACTCTACACCCAGTATCAAGATAACAGTATTCACAGTATTTTACTCCCTTGTCCCAGAAAGAAGGCCTGGATATTTTTTAGGTTAATTTAAACGTTTTTTGGGGGAATGTATGCTCACATGTATTTAAGGACTATCATGTGCTGAAAATGCCTAACCCAAAACCATTAACACATACAAATACTAAAGTCCAATCCTTAAATGGTGGCATTACAATAAAATATCTTTTAAGATACATTGTTGTTCTACTAAAGCACATCAATTCAAACATGAAAGAATATCCTTAGACTACATGAAATCCAATGTTTTGATTACCTATCTGCAGTTATGTTATTGAATCTATGGCGAGAAATCTATGGACAATAATAATACTGTTCCCAAAAAGTAATAATTTCAAACTCACATAAAAAACACTCAGTTAAAGCAGATAGTATTGTCACATGCGAAATCTCACAGCAAAAACAAGAGCATAATGTTATACAACATGTAAAGGCATAAAAACACCAAGGAAACATCAAAGAGAAGAATAAGTCAGAGAGGTAAGAAATAGAGCAGAGCTCTGATCATTTGCACCAGGAAACCACAAAAGTGTTTTGCTTAAGGGAAATGAGGAAAAGGTGGAAGCTTGACACACTGTAGTGGCAAGCAATAATTCTTCACTCCCATGCAAGGGTAATTGATTGTATTCACTCTTACTTCACAGTGGACCATATCTCTCTAGAAGGCAGTTGAGTTTCCTTCAGATTCTGAATCAGCATCTGACGTTGTTGAGTCTTTCGATGCACTGCCAGATCCGGAGCCACTGACTGAAGATTTGTCAGAGGAGATGGCGTCCTCGTCCACCTCAGTGATAGGGGACAGTCCTCCGTATGTCTCTACAGAGGTGTTACCAATGCTTCTGATATCAGAGCTGTAAGTGGGACCAGTGTAGGGTGCAGAGGGCCCAGGGTCTCCAGACGCCTTCCTAGAACTCCCCGTTGATGCATCTTCACTGAGCTCGCTGGCTGACTCTTTGCTCTCATCAGCAGTCTCAGAGTCTTCCTCGTCTTCTTCTTCACTCTCCTCTGTAATTGTGTCCTCAGAACCACGGCTCTGGCTGGACTTCTGGGAATGCCGGCTGCCACTGGTGGAACGGGAACCAGCTGTACCTGTCTTGTTGCTCAGGGAACTCTGGTCTGTCATCTCACTGACGGATGAAGACCCACCAACGGACTCTGACTCAGACTTTTTCCTCTGGCTGGACCCTCGAGATAAAGAGCCTTCACTTCCTGACACTGACTCTACCTCGCTGGCGGTCCCTGTTCCTGACTCGCCTTCACTGAGTTCTTCACTAGACTTCTCGGAGGAAACTGCGCTTCCTGATGATCTGGTTCTATTTGATGACTTAACACTTGAACCAGATAAAGATGCAGAACCACTTGTGCTACCACTGCCACTTTCTCTGGTACCACTCCCACTCCCGCTGCCACTACCACTGCCGCTGCCGCTGCCACTGCCGCTGCCGCTGCCACTGCCGCTGCCACTGCCGCTGCCACTGCCACTGCCACTGCCGCTGCCACTACCGCTGCCACTGCCGCTGCCACTTGCACCTGATGTAGCTGATGATTTCATGGAAGAGCGGGCAGAAGACCCACTTTCTCTAGTGCTCCCTGAACCCTCTTCCTCCTCAGACTCTTCATCAGAATCTTTCTCTGTCCCTGAATCTTTTTCTGTGCTTGTTTCCTTCTCTGTTGCTGTGCCTGTTCCTGATTCAGATTCTTTCTCAGATTCAGACTCTTTCTCGGAGTCTGAATCTTTCTCGGTTTCTGATTCTTTCTCTGTAGCCGACGACTTCTCTGACTCTGACTCTTTTTCCGAATCTGATTCTTTTTCAGTCCCAGATTCTTTCTCACTGATAGATTCCTTCTCCGTTTCTTCTCCTTCAGATTTGGACTTACTTTCCTCATCAGAATCCCCTGGCTCCTCATCAGGCTCTTCCTCTGAGTCCACAGTGCTTTCATTGGCATCATCACGGTCCAAGTCTACTTTCAGATAATCTCTGTCAACACTGCTTCTCTCAGAGGATTCCCCATCAGAGTCTTTCTCCTTACTGCTTCCACTTGCACCTGCTTCTGGCTCACTCTCTGTCACACTAATTGACACTTTAGACTTGTCATCCTCACTGGCTACTTGTGAAGCCTCCTCGTCTCGCTCGCTGCCTGTGGCAGAGCCCTGGCTCACACTACTCTTCGACTTCCTCCGTATCTGCAATTTTTTGCCTAAGTTGATTTTCCTGAAAACTTTACTGAGCTTGCTACGCGTATCAGACTTTCTGTCGATTGGTCCCATAACTGTTGGTCCGCCTGTCAGACTCTCTTGGCTGTCAATGCGGCGGGCTGACATCAGTTTGGCATAATCCTTGTCCTTCTTCCCGGCACCAAACATCTTGAACATCTTGGCTTTCTTCCATGGAGATGGGCCAGAAGGACCGGCATCAGACGGCTGTTCTCCCCCCTTGCTGGCTGCCAGGAGTTTGCTGAGTTTCATGACAGACTTCAGTCTCTTGGCAGCCTTAGAAGGCTCGCCCCCCTCTGCTGGCTCAGCTTGTTCGATTTCATCCCCTGGCATGTCCCTAAATGCAACCCTCTTAGGTGGACCTCCACCACGGCCCCTGCCTCTGCCCTGGTCCTAAGACAGTCATATTTAATTTAGCAATGATTTGAATCAAAAAGCCACTATGTTTGTAGGGTTAATACTGCTGTTTAAAAAACACACACAATGTTAAGATAATCTTTACATTATCACGTAGAGTAAGGAAAGGGCATACCTCAGTGCCACGAGGACCGTAGTAATACTCATCATCCTCCATGATCACCTCTCCATATTCATCATACCTTGGAGGTATTAGCCTCCTCCTACTGCCATACTGAGGAATGTCGTACCTGAGAAATAAATAAAATAAATATGAAAAAAAAGAGTTTAGAAAGAATGTGGATTACATTTGGCATTAATAGTTTTATTAATTCCTAAAGTAAACCAGCAAAAATAAGTTAATTAATCTATTAATCCAAGTTTCTATATTACACTGCCCCCAGTCACTGCTGCTTTTGGTCTTTTTTCTTATTGGCAATATCTTCAACAAGATAGTCAATAATTTATGTGAAGATTAGCAAAAATCACTAGTATTCACTTTGTAAGTTGGGAGCAATATAATAGAGAAAAAGAAAAGGCGGAAACTACATTTCCTAAAATAAATATAGATGAGTACATATTCGCCCATCTTTGTCAAAGGAGTTTAATAAATTACAAAAATGCAAACACATGCTGAGATGGGAATTTGTTGAGAAATAATTGATGCCTAAAGCCCAATAAAACATAAAATATGGTTGCATAACTCTTCTCCAATGCTCTGTTTTTTATTATTATTCCAGAGCATGTTTGGCTTTCATCAGGGGAGTGTTAGATTTGACTATTAATCCAACCAGTACCTACTGAAGAGAACAGTTTCAACATATGCCATTTAAGTCACGGAACAGTTTGAACAAATAGTTTTATGATTCAAATGTTAGTGTTTCACAGTTGTAACACTAAAAAAATGGATCCACCATTAGGTTATCTGCATTAGTGTGGTAGATGGCCTCCAACAGTTTGAATGTTGATACTCTTCTTACTCTATAATAATACATTAGGGAAGAGCCTAAAGGAAAAAGACCAATGGTAATTTTGTCTTATTGAGAACATGATGAGGGGAGCTTACAACACAGCCGGTTGATTGCTAAATGATAAGCATGACGGCTGTAAAAGTGTGCCCTTCACTGCAAACAGAACATCGCACATCAAAGGCATCGGGTCACAGTGATGGTACACTCATTGGCAATAGCAGCTTTTGTAATGAACTTTGTGACCTACTATTCAAATATAATTACATCTTGTTGCGAATGAAAGCCATCGTATTTCAGACAACCTGAGAAACAGCTGTGGTAATTTGTAGAGCTTAGGTAAGGTAAGTTGGTGAGTAACTACAGGCAATTACCAGACTTCATTTCCATATGTACACTCATCAGATTTCACTTAACAGTTTTAAGCCTTTAAAAGTGCAAAAACATCTTCCTGTTCTGATAAACTTGTGGTGCAAGTCACCTGCCGTAGAGCGGGAGCTTTTAATGAATAACAATTTCTCAGCAGCTGTTAAGGCTTTGAGTTGCATGTTTTTCCTCTTTAAACCATATGGGCTATGTAACAGGCACGCCAAAACTCCCTCTATTCATTAAACCATGGAAAAACACTTCCACACTGAGGTGCCTGACTCAAGGCAGCATACAGTAATTGATCTCATTTGATGGGAGTAGAAAGGGTAAATGCTCTGATGATATGTACAGCTCAAGCGGAAGCACAAGTGATGCTCATCATTTATTTTTTTCGGAAATATTCGCTCCATTCCTCAAGGATCTAAGAAATGGGAGCTGGAAGGCAAGGTCACAATAAATAAAGTCCTAACGAGGTTATTTTTATTTTTAGCAATGGAGATCACTTCCTGGATGAGAGAGTATGACTGATGAGAGATGAGACGGTCATGGGGTGCATGCTCACCCTTGGTCATAATTATAGTAGTCCTGTGTGTAGTAGTCCTGGCCCGGGTCGATACCTGACTCCATTGAGAGTTCCTGTATTTCAGAGAGGCAGAGAAAGAAATTACTCAGCACTCCTCAGGGAAAACCAGAAGAAGAAGAGCATGCAGCAGCACACAGGGCGAGTAATACAGCAGAATGGACTACAATCCCTGTGAATTAAGAAAAGCAGGAGGGTTTCTACCTCAGGTCTCAGAAGAGATGGCCTCAGCAGTTGCTGTTGCTGCCAAAGATTAGTACAGAAGAAGGATAAGGTAATGAAAGGAAGGGAAGGTTAGGAAAGACACAAACATAAGGAAGAGTTCACTCTACACATTTCAGATGCAAGTCAAGCCTCTTTTATGAGCATCAATAATATATCTATGTGATCCCAATGAAGGAGCAAGGTGAAAGATAGATTTTATACTGATGGAAACACAGCAAGGAAAAGAGGGAAGATGTAAGCCAGGCAGCGAAAGTAAGTAAGAAAATGCAACAGAAAAATAAAACATCTTCTGTATTTCAGTTACTGGTCGTTCATTATTTGAAGGTAACAAGAAAGAGTCTTTGTTTGGTAATTATGTTTTGTTTTCCAACTCAGGAGAAACACTCACATTCTTATCTGCTATTTGACAGAAATATTGGGGACTACGACAGAATTGTGAATGAAAGCTAAACTGTAATGTCAGTGTTAGAAGTCCTATCATCAGGATCTGATCTTAATCTCATTCAGTGCTTTCTATCAAGTGAGTTGTAGATAAGAATAATAGGATGTAAACTGCCTGGAGTGTGACAAAATGTCTCCGTGCAACAAAAATAAATAAAACATCACAACAGGAATGCTTACCTGTCTGCCGTAGCCTCCTCGCCTGCTGTGTGCCGCAGAAAGGAGGGAATGAAACAAATAATGAATACAGATTGGCAGAAAAATATTAAGTGCTTTAAGATAAATGAAATGTTTGGTCTACAGGACTAGCGTGTCTACATTCTGCTGACCAGTGAGGAAGTTTCAGCTTTACTTACTGTGCATTTATAAGTGTTAAATTACAGAGTTGCAGATATTGTTCAGTTTTGAAAAAGGGTGCCTTAGGCCACAATGTTATCGTGCTGGTGTGGGCTGTTTTCCCCCCGTTATCTTATCCAAACAGGGAGCAAAAAAAGATACAATAAATGCAAAGAGCAAAGAGGGGACAAAGATTGGAATTCGAAAAAGTCAGTGTTTATACAGACATATCTGGAGAATCTTCGAGCAGATGTGAAAAGGACTCAAACAAAGTTAATGAAATTGTCTTTGCTTATCGCAAATAATGTGCCAGTCCTTTTCAACAGACAATGCTTTTTAAGCTAAATTGAAGTAAGCTAATATTAGGATTCTCAAACGCATTAAAAAGTAGTCCTGGCAGCTCTTGAGGACAACAGTGCATCTGCAGTGCTTTTAGTACAAGTCAATGAAAAACTGCGAGTAATGGAGCAGACCGGCTGAACCCCTCCAGTTTCACAAGCGTACAACTGTAACCTGTCTGGGCCCATAAATAATGACGACTTTCACACTCGGATATATGGCCAAGCAATGATGTGAGCTTCCTCTGGAGAGCTGTAATCTGTTATTATGGGCAGGGACCAGGGGACAGGGCACAGCCATATGGCCACACCTCCCAGGCAGAGAGGATGATGGGAGTGGGATCTGATGGATGACTTGTTGGCTTGGCTGCTGGCTACTGCTTCTTCATGAAACATCGAGAAAAATGACCCAGTGGACAGCAGCCGTAAGAAGTTTGCACAAGGGCTTGGAGGAAGATGGGTTATAAGATAATGTAATAGAAAAAGAGGTGAGAGAGGTGAGCTCAGAATTACAGCAAGACTTGAATACTGATGAACCCAGTGTATTATATTGATAAAAGTAAAGTTCTCTTCAAAAATAACTAGCTTCACATTTTCCCAATACATTATTTCTATGTAGAAAAAGCATACAAATACGTTTTCTTATTCTGCTGCCAAAAACACCTTAAGAAACAAAACAAATATAACCAAACTTTTGTAGCAGAAATCATCAATAGGAATAGTTTAGAATTGTATGAAGTATGCTTGTCAAGAGTTGATACCACTCTCCTGTGTGAGAGCTATTGATATTCTTTTCAAACTCTCGGTACAAAAGCGAATCAACGTATTCCCCAAAATGTTGAACAATAACACAAATATCATGCACTATGAGGTGTAAGAGCAGGGGGATGTTTTAATGCAACACAGGATCTCTCTGATAAGCATTTTGTGTGAATATGAATAATAATGAACCTAATCTATTGTATACTATCTTAGGTCTTTGTTTTGTATTTTTTTTTAAACAAACTATTATGGTTAATTTGAGACAGAACATTTCTACCCAAAGCATACTTTTAGTCTTAAGCTTGGTAATTACTTTTGATTCTTTTTGAGACACTGCAATGATTCATCAGCCAGGACACAATGGAGTTTGATAAAAACCAGTTGGAAACAATGGAATATAAAGAATAACATCCATTAGGGCTCACTGTTCCTTGGGTTGAAAAACTGCATGTGAGCCGCTTAGCCTTTCTAAAAAAGAGATTGCCCCATGTAGTGAACATGGAATACAGAATTAGCAGGCCTTCGATCTGCCCATCGGGGGATGTGTGATGAATCAAACATAACATTGCTCTGGAAGGGAGGTATGCTAAGACCATTTGCCTTAGGGCATGGAAGCTAAAACAAACACATGAAGGGTATGTGGGAGAAAGACAGAGGAGTGAAAGTAAAGCACAAAAAGGAAAAGAGAGGGGGACAGAGGCCGCATTGCAATGAGCGTAAAGAAGGTAATATAATCTCCCGAGAACCACAAGAGAAGATTAACAAGAAGAGGCTACGGATTGAAAGTATTCAAACTAACTACAGGGGGAGAGGAAGTGAGATAGAGAGAGAAACACAGACAAATGGTGAAGGCAGAAGGTCGGAGAGAAGGGAGTGAAAAGGAGAGGGTAACAGTACTTGACAGTCCCACAGGCAGCGGCCCTAGTTAACGATTGATTGGTTCTCTAATTAGCCTTTTCCAGTGAGCAGCCAAACATCACAGTGACTACTTTATCATGCTGGGAGGATTTCTTTAGACATGTGAAAAGGCGGGTCCCCCAGAGGTTAGCTCTCCTCGTTCAACATGAGCCGGGAGACCCTGTCAATAGGTTTTTATAGTCGATGTTACAATCAACACTAGAAGATGTTCTCACTTAGAAGTGCATAGCCCCATCTTATCTGCATTCAACTGTATTATATTGAACTAAAAGGGTTTCCTGTAGCCTGCCTTAGTGTTGTATCTAATTTGTTCAATTTGCATGTGGTTTATATATTCCTAGATTTGCTTTTTTTATTTGTATTTTGTTTCCTTGCTGAGGGGGTGGATATGAAAATTAGTTGTCTCTCTCTTTTGCTGTTTTATACATCTGTAAGGATAGTGTCTTACACCATCCATCACAGTAAGTCGTTTGTTAAAAACACCACTGCAACAACATCCTGAATATGTTAAAAACACAAATGTGCAATCATCCTTTCTGAATTCTTCAAAAGCTCATTTCATAGTATTTGCATACCTATGGGACATTCTTAAACGCTATGGAAATTTCCCTCATTAAAACAAATAAAACATCCAACATTATGTTTTCTTCTTTTGCTTCATTTAGATTTTGCACAGAGCAACAACATACTAAATGCTCATGCTCTTCACTTATGTGAAAAAGAACAAATTAAAAATCAGCAATATGCAGACAGTAAACGGTTGAGGAAACAGACCCAGAATAATACATGTTGCTGTTTAGTGAAATTTCATTTAAGTAGCTTTAGTTAAGAAGTGCTTATGCTAAGATAATTAACTGAAATAACATGCTAATATCATGATGAACTGACTAAACTGATAATTCAAGGGTATGGTTATCATAGATCTCATAGCAAATGCACTGAGCCAAACTAATGCTGTATATGCAAGCCTCTTTTATGTACTAATACAAGCCTGTAAGCAAATCGTATGGCAGAGCTGAGTACATTTCTTGGCAGGTGGCACTATAATTAGATTTCCAAGTAAAAAAGCATTATTTCAGAAAGACAAACAGTCAACATTATCTTTGCTAAAGCTTAAACTGAATACTACCCACTGTGCAGAAAATAATGATTATTAAGTAACAACAGAAAAGCAGGCATGAACATGAATAAATGGAAAATATGAGCGTGTGGAGACAGAGAGAAAAAGTCAAAGCACTGTTGATTGAGAGTCCTCATCTCTATTTGGGCTTTTCAATTTCAATTGGCTTGGCTGCTGAGTGTCTCCTGCCATATTCAGTTCACTTGGTCCATTTTCAACACGGTTCATACTTGTTGTTGGGTTGATTTGGCCTGCAAAGCTGGAGTTGGTTGTTTTTGGCGTGCTCTGCTCATCGCAGGGATCAGAGCTCTGCAGTCTGTTAGCACCTTCTGATTCTTCAGTCATTTGGGGTTTCTTATTAAACTTGGGCACCTTGCAGGTTTTGTCGACTTGGCTGTACAGGTTGGCAACAGACCTCTCTATGTCGGCTAGATTCTCAATGTTTTTCAGGATCCCTTTAAGCTCCCTCTTCCTGATATCAGCTTGAGATTGGTCAAGACGAGCAGGATGTTTTCGTTCTGAAACAGGGCGAAGTGAGGACACGGGCGGCAAAGCGGTTGGGAGGAAACGGACAACTGGGCGCGAGTGGTTGCTGATAGCGGGGAAAGGTAAGGAAGGAAGAGGCGGTGGAGGTTGGGGCGCAACCCGCTTATTGGCTGGAGGAGGAGAGGATTGAGGGGTGTTTTCATGTTTAGGAGAGCAGAGTGTTGAAGGGGGAGAATAAGGTGGACTAGAGGGAGGAAGTGTGGGTGGGGCATGTGGAGGTGGCCGTGGAGGAGGAGGCGGGGGATTTTCTGGTGGATCTGGTATGATCTCCACAGTGATCTGACATGGTTGGTCTGTCATGAAGCTGGGGCTAAACTTCCTCAGGCCGGGTTGAGTCTGTCTCTGACCAACCAGGGGCAACGAGTCATCTCCCTGAGCAATAATGATGCTGGGGGGCACATCCTTTCCCACAGAAGTGGGGCTGTAAGAATAGTCCATGATAGAGAACAGAGTTTCTGAGGTCAGCTCCAGAACATCATCACTGTCTCTATCACTAACAAGGATGGTAGAAAGGGAGCCTTGGGAGCCCCAGTTTTGCTTGAGGGTTTGTTCCAGGAGGGCCTGCTGCTCAAACTGCCTGGCCTGATCACGGACTGACAACTTGGCCTCTGTGCTGCTGTTCATGCAAAGTGTGCTCGAACTCTCTAGCCTCCGCCTGCTGCTCATTCCTGCTTGGAGTATTTGAAGCTCCCAATCTTCTGGGTCCATAAGTGATGGTCTCCTTGGCTCGTCACAACCCTGCAGCCCCCCGTGAATGTGAGCAGGCATCGACCAGACACTGTCTGACCCTGCTGAGTATGGGGGAGAAAAGGAGAACCGCTTTTCAGAGGAACTCTCCCCACGTGGAAAGGCCTCAGGACTGCTGAGGAGGCTGTTGTCATCGTACACTGGGTTGTGAGTGGTAAGTGGGTTGTGATCCGACAGGAAGGTCACGTTGCTCTCTGACTTAGGCAAGTCGACATGCAATGCTCCGTTGCCGTGGGCTGCCATGGAGCGACAGGCAAAGTTGCTAAGAATCCTCTGGTGGTTCGCTTCCGCAATGACAGACTTGTTAGCCCTGCCCCAGTAAAAGGTTGAGGTGAAAAAGAAAAAAGACTTGAAACAAGTGAAAGTTAAAGGATGAGCAAAGCAAAAGAACAGAGGGTGAGGCAAAGCAAAACCGCTATCATTTTATTCTGCATCTTAACTGAAATATGACCCTTAGTATTGTGACTGTCATTAAGAACATCTGCACACCCTGGACCAACAGATATACAGTATGCTTGTTTCTCAATTTTATAAACATAGATTAGTTTTAAATAAGCTTATGATGAATAATACAAATCTGATGCTCTTTAATATGGAAATAGCTATTATCCCCCAAAATAGGCTGGGCTATGGTCTTCAGATACAGTTTAATGCAAATCATTACCATCATTAAGCCATATTGGATGCATTAGTGCAATCAGTCACAACACTAAAAGATGTGAAAGTAAGGGCGACATAGCACGAAAGTTGTTATCTAATGGGAAGGTAGAGCGGGAACAGCTATAGGCGTATCTACTTACTGTAAGTGCACTACCGCTTTTCTGACTACATAGTAAGGGGTTTATTGAAGCTTTGGAAAACAGCTACCATCTGTTACCACAATTACACAATTAACTATAACAGGATAGGCCATTTTAAATAGAATTTTTGCACAAGGGTATTAATAATAAAGGAATAATTCTAGCATAGGAATATAAGGTACATTTACGAACATTTTATCTATAAATTGAATATGCATATACTCAGCAAGATAGATCCCATTTGGTTTGGGATTACTTACTGCAGTCTGAATCCAGAGAGACAAGGGAATAGAAATGATGGAGAAGATAGAAACACAGACAGATGGTAAAAAGACTAAAGCAGAAATGTCATGGGTGTGGAAGCGTAAGCTCAAGGGTACGTCAATACTGTACTGATTTATTTGCTGTGTGCATTTGAGAATATGCAAAAAACCGTTGGCACTGACACACAGCCCCCCACCCCCACCCCCACACACACACACACACACACACACACACAGAAAACTTTGTTATAAACATGCCGTTTCAAAGTCTTTTAATGTGGTTGTTTATAGGAACTTTTCTTGTTCCTAGCACAGGCTATAAAATAACCCCCAAATAAATGTTGCTCGGCAGCAATACGATCCCCAAGAGAGCTTTTAATCAAAAGCTTCTGCTTGTTGTTGAGTGTTGGTCAACATCTGTTGTAAACATTCTTTACAGCTTGCCATTACATTTCCATTTTCAGTTTTCAACAGCAATAGTGATGGTAGTAGTAGTATTTCTTTTAAAATGATGTAAATGAAAAGGATTAATTTAGAAGGGCAGCAGTTTCAATTCAACCTCATTTAATCAGCAGACATTAATATTTAATTACACTTTAGGGATACTATTATAAATGAAAGGTGAAATTGGATAGAAAAACACTCTGAAAATAAAGGTGAGCTCAGGAATCATTCATGTAGGTTTAAATTGTTGGAAGATTTAAAGTAATTTATTAAAAATCAACGACTAAGCACAGGCCATATGTTGTGTTTGTTACATCTAACACTGCCTTACAGCTGTTATTACTGTTTATTATGAATCATCAGCTGAATCATGTTTTTATTTTCTTCAAGATAATACAATTTACAAGCAACCTGTATTCATCAAAAGGATCAGTTATGGAGATATGCATAATCAGATATATACAGTGCCTTAAACATGCCTTAATCATACTACAGAATAATTTTGTAAGAAGAAATCAAAATTTTGAAAGAAAATGAAAGGCTATCTTGTATACCTCAATACACTCTTACCTTTAGAGGGTTGTGCAAACATGTATACAATGTCAAATATGAGCACATACATACTCTAAAATAAAAATAAAGTATAATCCCTAGTTGTGCAGCAGCATCCATTCCTTTTTTCAGACATCTAAAGTTGGAAGACAAAGAGCAGGGTGCCCCATTGATGCAGGCACTGCTGTGTCTAAAGCAGCAGTTGGAGGACTAAGGTCAACCTGCAGAGCTGCCAGCTGTCATTAGGAGGCATTTGATTATGCATTCTCAAGAAAAGTTGGTGTGAAAACCAGGAAAATAGTGTAGCATTCAACCGGAAGGCAGTTATTTCCCCCAGAAATAGTTCCTGCTTATCATAGGAATGGGTGGGATGGGTGAGAGATAATAAAGGGTCAGGTTTAACCTACCTGGTGCTGTCGCCAAGCTCCTCGTAAAGGTTAGCAGTGGGAGCAGCTGCTGGAGGTGCTTTCCCTCCTGGTGGTAAAGCCATCTGAATCCTGGCAGTTTTGGCACACTCTGCCTGTCGCCTGTGCAAAGTGTTAACATTTACAATCACCCAGATACTGTATGTGTTTCTAGTCCACATGCAAAAAGGAATAAATGAGAAAAACACAAACTCATACACAAGCATACAAAGAAAAATCAACCCAACATAAAAGTCTTTGCTTCTTTTATATTTAATCTATGAACTCATCTTTACTCAAACAGTGTGGTTAAAAAGTGAGTAGAAGCCTGGCACATCACTCATGCATGAAGTCTACCATGAATTAACAATTTTTGCTAAAAAAGAAGCACATGCAGTAAGAGGCGTTAAAACTAAAGTTACTGTTATGTTCAGTTTTTAAAATTAAAAAGAATAACTTGATTTTGTTGGATAAGGATAGCTAACATCTATTCTTATTTTATATAGAGCTGCAACTTTTGATCAGTCGAAGAAGATACCATAATAAAGACTCTTATAAAAACTATAAGAGACTATAATAAGAACTGAGCATTGGAAACATATTTTTTACTTAACTCACCAAACGTTTTAATAAATTGATTGAAATCTTTAGGTTAACATTCTAGAAAACCAGTCCTGCTGTTAGTCCAATATGTATTGCCATTTTAGATTGTTATCAAAATTGTTGTATCTGTCTTTTGTTAGCTTGTTTAACTCTGTTCACCAACTGCATATTAACCCTACAAGCTGCACAGTTTTAGAACAATGAGGTTATGAACATATTTTAATCAGATCATAAAGTATCTTTTGAGAAAAATACCTGTAGATATCCATGAAGTTCGTAAAAAAAGACATTAGGTATTCTGACACCTAACAACTGAAAGGTCATTGTACGGTAGATGCTGCGATTAGTTTTCAGCTATCTATTTTCAGATTTACATGCTGTGCAATTATATTTTAACTAGCAGGCCTGTGAGAGATGATGGGTCACAGAAGCTTTCAACAGAGTGACGAGCGTACTGTTAGAGGTCAGTAAGCGGGTATAAGCGCAGATATATAAGTCTTTTTGACTTTGGTTTGATTTTCCTTTCGAATGTCGTCAGCTTGATATCAACATGATAAGAAAATCATTCTATAAAAAGGTACAAGATAAATTAGTGTTGCTTTATATTATATTCTGGAAAACATTTTAAAAAGGGTGGCATTATGTAGCATGCATTTATCTCATTATCTTTGCACATATTTTAATCACTAATGATTAATGAAGATGAGAACAATGGTACTTCTCACACACACTTGATACATGAAAAGCGACGAGTTCTAAAACACAAGAATAATTACTTACTCTTTGAACCTGGTGATAGATTTTGATTCAGAAAAAAGGAGAGGAGACAGAGGGAGAGGGAGATAGGGGACAAAATAAATAAATAATTACATCATTTGGCAAGAGCGTAACCCCATACGATGTTGATTGAATAATGGACGTTATTAATGCAATCCTTGCACAGAAAATGAAAAATCTTTGTATATAATATGTTTTTATCTTTAACCACAAAACAGGGAAATACTTCATGCACTTTCTTTCCCATTTCTATGCAAAGCAGCTAAGCCTCGAGCAGTGACTGCAAGGCAACATGAAAAAGTGGCCATTGCTTTCTTTTTAAGTGTATCTTCTATGCTTCATGTCACCATCAGTTATTCAAAACAAAATTCAATTATTCCACATGAATACACAGATACACTTTAAAAAAATGACGCTCATTCCAAAAGGTTACAGCAGATTGTGTTAACACAAAAAATGATTTCCTAAATCAGTTTAATTTTTACGAAAGTAATGACACCACCAACAAAATGCCATCTGCTGTGACAGTTTGTGTGTTAGGTCTAATGTCACCACAAACAGCTTTCTGCTGTGTGTTTAGTCTGTGGATTTGCGTAAGGACAGCCACCCTGCCCATCTGCCGTCAATAAACATTTCCCAAACATCCCCATTTAGGGAACATTTGCAGCATGCCAACAATTAGACGGGATAAGGTTGTGCGACCTAAGAGTCAAACTACCTCACCTTTAAAAAAACAACCATCATACTTCTTTAAACTGCACAATGTGTGTGTGTGAATGAGAGATAATGCAAGCCAGACACTGTTTATTGTGTGTGTGTCAAGCAGATATGATTAAGTAGCGTGAAGATGCACTGTGACGGTCACAATTGGCTGTAGATATTTGTCACAAATGAGTGTTAATTAATCTGCTTTCACAGAGCATGAGCAGGAAGATTAGCCCAGCAGAGTGCGTAGTCAGCATATCTTATGAAAGAGAGAGACAGAGATAAGAGGGCGAGAGAGAAAGAAACACAAAAAGGCAGCAACAAAGCAAGGAGTGCTCCCGGTTTATCTTAAATACTTGACTAATACACCTTTCAACCAAGCTTTTTGTGGTTTTGCTGGGTCTATTCCAACATGCCACAGGGTACAGGATCAACACAAAGGTTTAAATTACAGCAATAAATATCCGATTGGTATGTGAAGAGCAAGCGCTTCAACTAAAACCGGGTGTTACACAAGTCATCCAAGGCAATAGCCCGTCTAATGAAAATGTATTCCCCTCTTAATTTCTGGACAACTGGTTAAGTATGATTAATCGGTTACAGAAGCCAGCGATGATCACTGTGGCGAGGGTACTCACTGTTTGTAGGTGACCATGACGATGAGGATGGCAGGGATGCAGCAGAGGATGATGATGATGGCCAGGGCCAGGAGAGCCCCCTCTGTGTAGCCCACCGCCTGGGCCGCCTTCTTCACACTGGCAACGATATCTGGAGAGCGGATCTCCAGGATGCGGCCTCCCTCACCAAGTAATGGCTGAAACTCCTTGTTGATTTCCAGCACATTCCCATCAAGAAACCTGTGATTTATAACACAAATAACAGGAGAATATTGTTTTTGTAGCAGTGCAGTTGTTACTCTTAATCCTTATGTTGCAAACTCTTTTTGTATGTATTTTATAGCAGCTATAATATATATTTTGTAAAAACAATGTTCAAAAAGATGATGTCAAAAGAATTAGAAGATGTAAAAGTGGTCTCTTGTAAGGATGAACCTACAGAGAAGTATCCCTTCAATCTGTAGCTCGGCTATAACTAGTTTTATAGTGTGTTTCACATCACTGTCTATATTTCTATCCGATAGGTTTTCTGTTGTGGTTCACTGTTTTAACTCTCACTTTGTTTTTTTTACTGTAGCAAGCAGATTGGTGCAGGGGTGAAGCTATAAACACCCACTGTATACTTCTTATGTATAGCAGATGACACAGTAGGCGACTAGTGAAAACATAAGAAGCCAGACATTTTCCTACAAATTGGTAGAGACCAAATGAGAGCTAAAAGAGATCACTAAATGAATGATAAGGTTGCTTTGTAACGTGATAAAAGGTGATGTCAATATATGTGTTTACCACTTGTTTCAGCTGTGCTCAAGTGGCCCAAAAAAAAAAGTATTTGCAGGTTAATTATCTCATTAGCAGAGATAATTATTTCAAGCTTTTGCTGTAATTTAGATCAACACATTATACGGTAAATGCTGCAACTGGGGATCTGCATACAACTCATAGAAATGTTGATTTTTTTTTTAATGCTAAATTGTATACGATTTCTCAATAGGACATACACTTCTGAGTGTGAACTTTCTAGCAAATGTGTTGATTCATACTTCAGGGTTTAGAGAGACAATTCCAGATACTGCTGTTTATCAAATGTTATTTTGTATCACTCGGCTTTCACAAAAGGAGTGAGCACACTGCCACATCCAATTACTATCATTTTTGTTTTTCTATAGACAAATAATTGAGGGGAAATCAAGGTTATCAACTGGCTTCCCAATCTTTCCTCTAAAAAAGGCAAAATGGTAGAGAGAGAGTTGTCTTCAAGGTGGCATAAGGACACTCTTTAAAGCAAGAATACACTCACTGCCATCTTATTCTTTCTTCTTATGTGATCTGCCAGCAAAGTGGAAGATATACTACATGCAATTACCCCACAACATTGTGAGACATGCCCGGACTGCATTAAAAGCATTTTCTCCTTTAGCCTGAAGGCTTTTTCTGACAGTATCTAATAGTAATCTAAGGAAGCGATTTACAGTAAAGCAGGAATGTACTAAGCTTCTTTTTTAAAATAAGCTGATGGCCACTAGTTATGGTCTTTGAAAAAAGTTGTTCTTACTGTATGACACAAGTTCCACACTTTCAATGGCTTTCAGCCTCAAACCCCCACTTAAAACCCATTGAAGCAATCCTCCAATCGTCAAGGACACCTAGATAATGTCAATAGATTAATTCAGTACATACACCATGCACCTCTAAACGTCATGTGAATGGATGACTTCAACTTGAACTGCAATGGTGACAGTCTCAGTCAGAGGGAGGTTTAACAGCAACACACAAACAGAGTTGGCAGTTACAATGAGTGAGGAGGAGTAAATACAGAAGATAGTGTCAGATCAATGTAAGCAAGCAGGGGGGCAAGGTTGTTGAGAGTGACAACTCAGAAGGGGGGGTTTCCTATTGATTGGCAACTCTCATGCTCTGGTGGACTTTCCTTTTCAAGATTGGAGTCTGATTGGTTTGACAGAAGGGCAAGGAAATATGTGAAAGGTGGGATTGTACTGAGACGCCAGCTCAGATCATTTTTTTTTTAAAGTGATGAAAAAGTGTCATGTAAGCCTTTTTTCCTTGGTGCTTTAATATCATGTGAACAGGGCCTTCAGTGGTTAAAGAAAGCTTCAGCACACATACTGTGTCTCCTGTCCCCAAACAAAAGCAATACAAATGTTTTGCTGGCATATCTCCAGGCTCTTTAAAGCACTGGTATAGCAGGTTGAATGGACCGACTTAAATACTCCCTGCTGCAATCTCCTGTGGTAACTCCCTAACCTCACCCCTCTCCTTTTCCTCTGTCTTTTTTGATGACATAGAAGATTTGGTGCGCCTGCAGGATAATCAAAATGTTATAAAGAAAGTAGAGGCAGAGAAAAAACGGGATACTGTAGAGGAAGAAGCCATGGGGGGCCTGCTGAGTCACTTTATAGACAGAGGACAAAGAGAGACTGCAGAGTGGACTGTACTTCTTGTAATAAAATAAAACTCTCACTTACTTGAAGAGCTCCTTGGGTGAAATGGCCCTGTTGGTAAGCGGGTCAATGGCGTACACCATCAGGTCCGATTTACTGTAGTCCTCGAGTTCAAAGCCATCGCCATGACGACGTGGACCAATTGACTCCACAATCACCTTGGCCCCGGGAATCTGATCCTGGACATGGCGCTCCAGAATACTAAGATGAACAGAAAAACACAGGTAAAACTTTATAAAGAAAGCAGTAGAGGAGTAGAACAAAATCTTGATTTATATAAGCAAAACATCAAGGTTTGTATTAATTCAAACCATTTCTTGGACCTCTGCGCCCAAAGCAATATGAGAGCCACCAATCTTAAGTACGCCTTTCTGGCAATGATTGTCCCATTGGGTTGCATTCTGCTTCTCCACACTAGGCTCTTGGCAAAGCAAGGCTTGATAATCCTTTCAGGCGGGGAGGAATCCACACCTTAAATTACAGCCAATAAAAGAAAGCCTGGCCGTCTGCCTCTGCCAAGGTTGATAAACAGTTTGAGGACTCAGGTAAAATGGTCCTGGATCATCACCAGCACTGTGCGAAATCACAGACCTCTCAAATGTCAGCACTGCAAGGAGCTTAACATGACTAATTTGTGTGTTTTTCAGCCTAAAGAGCCGAGTCACAACGCAGCATGCTCTTGAAAAACAAGTATTAACACACATTTGCCTTTCAGATTGACTAATTAGACTAAACACGGTGCCCCAAGAGCTGCAAAAAGACATTTCATAAATCTCTATCATGATTTAATTTTGGACAAGGAAAACCGTCTGTAGAAAAAAGAGACTCATTGGCTATTAATTTATTGGTCAATAGTTATTTAACAACAACAAACATCTTGTACATAACATTAATTATTGTTAGTTCCTATTTATAATTGTCAGGCAAAATCATACATATCATTCCAGGCCTTCAACAATGATTTGTTACACAAATTAAGGTACCACCTTGAACCAAGTTCACCTCGTATCATAGCTCTGCTCAAAACGTTGCAATTAATTTTCCAGTGTCAATTTTCCCTGAATCAATTAACCAAAGAGTATTAGAGGGCAAGGGAATGTAGCCTACTGAAAATAATTTGCTACATTGACGAGAGTGGGATAAAGGATGAGGTAACAGGCATGTTGAAAGGAAAACTGTTTCCGACTGTTAAACGTTCCTATAACAAAGTAGCTTGTTTTATATTAAATGCAACACCAACTTTCACACCAAGCATTATGCAAACATAGACATTGTTTTTCTCATTTGAATGAGCATATTTTCTGTTCGTATTTGAATCATAGTAAATGCTGTCTTACCGAATGAGCTCCTCCCTATGCTCCTCCACTAAATGGGGTGGGACAGTGGACACAACAACCTGCATGTCCAACGCGTTGACAACAGAAACCTGAGAGATAGTAAGAAAGAGGGAAATAAATAAATAAATGACCAGGAGGTAAAACAAACAGGAGGAAATATAGATAAATAGCGATTAAGCCATTATGTCACATGTGTCCTACTGAGCGTTTGATCGTTAGAGCCAGTGGGACCCTCTCATTACCTGCTTATATTGGTGAGATCGATGCAGCTAACATAACAGGACTTTATGCTAATGCAGCAGTAAAGCGAATAGGCAACAACCTCTGTGCTGTGAAGTCAAATTTCCCATGCGAATCCTGTAAAATTAGGTTTGCCTTGAAAATTAACGAGCACCATGGTTACGCACTCGCTGCTCTCTCATATGCAGGCAATGTCCCAGACCCTCCTGCTGTCTCGTTAGAGGCTTGTTAGCCAGACATTTTTCACTGAAATGAAAAACAAGCCTTCCCACAGTAAGGAAAGATAAGCATTGAATTGGGGCCAAAGCTGTGCCCAATCACAGCATATGTGTGGGGTAATTATTGTAAAAATAGAAATTGTACAAAGGCAAGTGACACAAAGACATGCACACTGACACAAACAGACACGCATAATGTATGGCTGAAAGAAAATCTAATTGGAATATCAGCGACTGGCAGAGGCCACATAGTGTGTGTCCTGCAACTACTGCAAAAAATTAAAGAGACTGGAACCAAAACATTTAGCATTGAGTAAACAAAATCAAAAACACATTATCTCAATGAGGTTTACAAATGACAAAAACAAATATACACATGGCTGTTCTTCGTGGTAGGCATCTTTTGATAAACTGACAGAGGTATTAAATGATTTCATATTATCGTGCAGACATGAGAGTGGATTCAATCTTCTCATCTAAGTCTGCTAGAAAGCAAGAAGCGTATTTCTCAAAGTATTGAACCTTTTACTTTAAACCTCAAAAGTCCAATCCAAGTAACTTAACTGATGTCACTTTTAATTTTCTCAGAATTGACAAAGCTCCTTCAAAGCCACAGAAGACCTTACTCAACATTATTTTACAGGTTGCGCAGCAGTCCCTCAATGACTATTAAATTGACATCGACGTGTAAAATGGGTGGAATGCCCCTTTGATAAGGCTCTCCTGCATCAATGAATTACAGACAGGTGACATTGCAAACCCATTCCATATTTCAAAGGCCGGTTCTCTGTAGAGACACCATGCTATGACAGCGACATACAACGTGAAATCAATATGTCTCTGCTGCGCGCTGACATGTAAGTCAAGGAATAACACAGAGCTTTCACCGACGTCCACAAAGAACATGTGCATTATGTATTTGATAAGTACAACAGATACACTATGAAAGGCACTGGATACATACCACCACATCGGCACTGCTGCTGAGACCTTTTCCATAGTCGTCTGTTGCAATGACTTCAAACGTGAAATATGACCTGCGCATATTTCTAAACATCGTGGCTGATTTGATGATACCGGTGTAGGTCTCTATGACGAAGCTGTCCTGGCCCTCTGGTGTGGGCGGGATAATCAGGCGGTACGCATTCTGACTGTAATTCCCAGTGTCCTTATCAGTGGCCTGTAACACACGAAGAACACATATTAGTTACACATAAAATATCTCTGTTAAACTCATAACAAGACAATGTGTGATGAGAAAAGCCTACGCCACATCCACCAATCATTGTTTCTGCTCTTGACCATGATGGTGGCTGTTGGTCCCAAGCATATATCACTTTTGGCCACTTCCCAATCAGGGATAAAACAGGATATACAGTATGTGGTCTTTGACAGCCAACAAGACATGCCAGAAGAGTAATATGCTTAAAGGGCCCATGTCATGCTTTTCCGGATATTACCCGTCCCCTTGTGTGTTATGAAGGTTTGTCTGAATGTAAACGGTCTGCAGAGTCAAAAACCCTCAAAGTACACCCTGTAGCGAGTAGGCTAAAACTCTAACACAGAAAAAACCTGTCAATGCTGCCCCAGAACGCCTCGTTGGGGATTTCTCATTTTCCATTGTTTGCTTGATGGGTTCTTTGACGTGTGAACAACCAAATGGACCAATCCGCGGAGCACCTCACACACCGGGATCCCTTGGCTATAACAGGGAGTCCCTGAAAGCTGGTAATAGACGAGTTGGGATCGCGGAGAAATGCTCTCCGCAGACCCATTCTCACAGCGTTATAAAAGTTTTTCTTACTCAATATCAAGCCACACTTATGGTTTTTACTTCAGCTGTGAGTGTTTGTGCGTGCACAATTTAAATCTATTCTAGTAGACCTCAACAATGGAAATATGATCAGTAGAAATGGCCATGACATGGGCCCTTTAAAACTCTGCAGGCATGGTTGGTTTCTTTTGTGACCCCTTGTGGTGCATCGATCTCGCTGTGATGTATCGCATTATTATTCTTCATCTAGGTCAGGGGTTTTCAAAGTGTGGGAAGGTGAGCCTCCCCCCAGAGAACATAAGAACAGCCGCGCCCCCCCTCCCAATTATTATTGCTATTATTATTATTATTATTGCTATTATTATTATTATTATTATTATTATTATTATTATTATTATCATTGTTGCTATAATGCAGGGGTATTCAATTTTATTTCAAAGATGTCCAGTAAGAAGAAAATGTCACTAAATGCTCTGTTTTCGCTGTCCTTTCTCTTTTTTGAGCACGCCATTTGAAACCGATTTGATTGACTGAGTAGCATCACCTCCTTAAAACATTAAACAATAACCTTTTGTTTAAACTTTGTATCTTTATGTTTTAAACATTTAAAACATTTTTAATATCGTAGATAAATCCTTATGCTCCCGGCAAAACACTGACCGTCCACTTTGCCTCCTTATTACACTCACCCCTACTTTAGTGGGAACAATAGCCGCTTTCACACCAAGTGCTTTGCCGTAATTAGTTCCGGAACTTAGTGCCCGGCACTTATAACCCCAGGGCATTAAGTACCAATCGCGTTCACACCGGAGTACTTTTCCCTGAGGGAAGATTACGCAAATGAGCCGCTGACGTCACTTCGTCTTCTTCTGCTTTGGGTTTACTGGCAGGCCACAAACAACTTCACGGCGTATACTGCCACCCGGAGTCCCCGGCCGGAATGCCCCAGAGTTGGAGTCCCAGTAGAAGCTGCTGGGACTCCCAGCAGCTTCGACGAAAGCCTTCCGAGTAAATCGTCAGAACGCCGACACCTCCTCATCACTCCANCTTTGTTGCTTCTGTGTAGACTCTGTGCTCTTTCATTCCAGTAAAACTCCTCAGAAACCAGTATTTGACCAATAAACAAAACTTCAAAGTTTTGTCAATTGTTTTGTTTATTGGTCAAATACTGGTTTCTGAGGAGTTTTACTGGAATGAAAGAGCACAGAGTCTACACAGAAGCAACAAAGCAGCATACTGCATTAAACCTGACCTTCACAGAGAGGTTGAAGTTCATGTGGAAAGGAGGCTTCAGTAGTCTGTATGCACTCTGTTTAGTTTTGCTATCTTAAAATCAATATAGTAAATGTGAGGTAAAGTGTGTTGCCAATGTAACCGGTTAGAACTCAAAGTTGCGATGAGGTCTTAAAATGTATGGAAAGGGTCTTAAAAGGTATTAAATTTGACTTCAGGATTCCTGCATATACCCTGATTATAGAGAGGCGAAGTCCCTCCCTTTCCGGTGGACCTCCATGGGACCTTATTTCTGAAAAATTATTGAAGTCAATGGAGAGAGAAAAGTTATCTTTCGATCCCGTTTGAATTGTGCCACGAATTACACATATGATGTTTGTCAATTTAAAAGATAATTTTGCAAGTAAAAAAAAAAAATGTTTGCCGTAAAACTTTGAAGTAAGACTTTTTTTTGGCGAAACCGCTCAATGAACTACATCATGGTCTCGCACAACAAGTACACGTCACCAAGATGGCCGTCACTACTGTCTTCCCAAAACAAGGGATTGACTACCCTCTCTATCACCACAATGAAACACGTCCAGAAGAATGTCATGCAAAGCTGCTTGCCTTCCTTCCATTCTCCCTGAACTGCCTGATCTTTTTAAGGTTCAATGTTAACCATTTGTGCAGATATCATGAAGTTCAAAAGATCGCCGATGCTAATGTAGCGTTAGCATGTCATCCGGGCTTAAACGGTGTATTATAGAATGATCACACAGGTGTGACAGTACTCTTCAAATGGTTCACGAAATATGACTACTACTCTTACTGTTTAAAATGTTGGGTTACTTCATGTTACTTCATATTAAGGCTAATAAAAATGACAAGGCTAAGGCTGTAATGCTAACTAACGTGCTTGCTACTAGCTAGTTAGCTAACTTGATCCAGCCACTCCTGGTCCTTTCATCAGACGGGAAGTGAAAGAACGAGTAAGACCCATTGCTGGTATGATAACAACCTGGTACTAAGCACACAGGCATCTTGTTAAAGTTATCTTAGCTACCTCTTATATTTAGTGGAGGAAAACAATGATGACATTACTTTAGTCTTATATTTCAACAGTTTTACGACAAACTGTGACTTTTTTACATGGAAATGATTATTTAAGATTGAAAAACATATATGTAATTCGTGGCACAATTCAAACGGGATCGAAAGATAAGCTTTCTCTCTCTTTTCATTGACTTCAATACATAATTTTTCCGAAATAAGGTCCCATGGGGCGGAAGTAGAAGGGCGGGACTTCGCCTCTCTATGAAGGTACGAAATAAAGTTTTGTATTTCGCAGTAGCGGTAAAAAGTGGTTTCTTATCAAATGTAGAACTGTACAATGTAAACAATCGACTAAAACACAATAAGATAAAAATAGTAAGTAATACAATACAAAAATATATATAATAGCCGTCTGTGTGTGCCTAATCATTTGTTTGTGTACCTCACTTCCGTTTCGCTTCTCATGCACTGATTCGCTAAGCTGAACAGCCAATCAGAGTGATTTATTTTGCCAACAGCCTCCGCTGCCGATTCAATTTGGTCCATCGGCAGCGGAAGGTGTTGGCACGGCCGATAAGACACAACAGTCTGAGTAGGGCGACAGGACGCTCATCGACGGCCAGACATCTATCGGCGGCCAGACATCGGCTCGGTGTGTCAGGGCCTTAAAGTGAAGTATGATCTGAAGCTACAACACACTGTTTAGGCTAAGAGAGGCTGTCAACATTTAAAATGTCACTCATGACCTCGGCTTTTAATCATTTACAGGGGTTCGGGCATAAGTGATTTCCATTAAAAGTAGCCTAAATCTAAGCCTGGCGCGGTTTGGTATCATGGTGGTCTCAATAGTGATTGATGATACAGTAGGGCCTTGCGGCAATGTTGCCCGCAGTGTATTTTGTGTCTGTCTAGATTGTATTGATCTGTGATGTGATGGAAAGCTGCAGTTTTGCTTCTCTGTGAAGGCGGGACATCTTTGTTTAGGCACTACAGCAGCAATGAGGATCCGTAAGGTTTTATGACCTCGATTTGTTGTTTTGTAAAAATGTATTTTTAAATGCTTTCTTTCGAACTCTGCCATCATGTTGAAGAACTCTCCGGCCTCCATTCAGAGCAATTTGATGTTACCTAAAAAGGCAGCGAGATTAAATGCTCATCCATTTAGCTTTTTAGGGGAAAATGGATCATATTTTTGTGGAGTGCATTCTGACATCTTCATATATCAGCTTAATCATAGGGTTGTGGTGCACCCCAACTTTGTTTGTGTCTTTGTTAATGCCATGCACATGTGACCAATGACATGCTTGTACAGATGAGTGAGCGCCAGCCTCTCAGCTGTAGAGGCAGTGAGACGTCTGCTTACATTCAAGAACGTATTGTGGTGGGAGCATGCCAGACATTGTTTGGATGTTTTGCTGTTGGCTTTGGCATAAAGCAGTACTCCACATCTGAAATATAACCCCCTATGGAAGTGAATGTCATCTTTAAATGTTGAGTTATAGCTTCAATATACCTTTGACCCCCTGGCAATTCCTATTTTATTTGTCTTTACATATTGGCCCTCTACATCGGTCATGATGATTCTTATTTACGTTTAGTTTTGTCCTCTCATACAGTGGGATATGAGTTCATCCCCATAGAAGCACCTTCACTGCAGCAATATATTTTTGCAGGAATAGCTTGACTTGCTCCAGGCTAAACGCAGCTGGGCACCACATGCCTCATATCCTTGGTGCGTTCCATGAAGCGTTTAGAGACAAGATACTGCTTCCATCTTTGTTTCACTTCACTGGCTTCTCGTCTATTTGTGTCTCTTTTTCTTATCAAAAGATGTATATCATTCACGGTACCTACAGGCGGAACCCATCATCAGACACTGCATTTAAGTTCTTATTTAAAAGATCCATGCTGTGTAAAGTGGAGGCAGGCCTTGTTTGGATAGCAGCTGATGAATGCTGGAATGCTTATCATGTTGTCGTCAAGATCCAGCCACAGCAGCCCGAGCTACGCACGAGCGAGACACGATGTCATCTTGAGCTCAGAGGTTTGCACTACGCTGTGAGTCACGCTTTAAATCAACATTTCCCTCTACTGCTTTTACAGCTTCAGCTCACACACAAGCAACTCTTGTGAGAACAAAGGTGCCACTTTTCATATTTAGATGTAGATTCCTGCAGGAACCATCTAATTGATGTGTTTTCGTGTTGAATTATGGCACTTTTATGGTTCACAATCCAATTTAAA